TACAAAATTGGTTCCCTTGAGAATAAATCTACTGCTGGAAACTCTTCAGTTATGGTTTTGGAGATATATATATATATATATACCATCTCCAAGAATCTCAAAAAGTTGCTCTAACAGTCACTGTTCTGGCTGAGAAATATGACTAGCACCACAGAAGCAACTCTCAGGGTGGAGGGAGGAAGAGAGAAGTAGGGGAAATCCCACACTCTACCTAATCCCTGCATAAAGGTCAAGTATTAAAAAGTCACAAACATACCGGGAAATTTTGCAAGCTCAAGGGACCAGCCCTCTCTAAGCAAATACCAAAAACAAAAAACAAAACAAAAAAAAAAAAAAACCACCACTTACCGTAATGAGAATGCAGTGCAGATCTCGGGGCTCCCCAGCTTCCTCTCCTGCACCCACGATGGCAGCCAGTTTCTGGATGTCGTTTATTCTCACAATGTCGATATCGTTTTCACAGCAGAAAGCCTGGATGAGGGTGAAGTGGATCTGGAGGGCAATGTCTCCCTCGTCTTCCTCATCTGCGGCCAAGACGCAGAAAGCCACGGTATCTGGATCGCTGCAGAAAAATGAGGCGGGGGGGGGGAGCAGATTAGCAAGGATCCGGGGATACTTTCCAACCACGAGGGAGGAGGAGGAGGGGGGGTGAAAGGAGCTTAAAGCCCTCGCTCTCAAAGGAACCAAGCTGGCTAGTTTAAAGGCCGTCCCCGTTTGTTTGGGCTGCCAACGACGGCCAGCCCAACACACCCGCCGCAAGATCGAGCAGGATACTCACACATTCATCAGCTTGGCCGATTCATAGACGCCGGCGGTAAGGCAGCCACGGCGCTGGGAAGCGACGAGCAACTCCTGGAGAGCTTTGCCGGCGCTCTGCATCCTGGTTCCGCTCGCGCTAGCGGTGCTAGCGGTGCTACTGCAAAGAGAAGCGGGGGAAGAGCTGGGTCAGTGTCTGGAAGAAGGAGCCGGGGTTACAAACAGACGCGCCCGCTCTCCGGCTCAGCCTCGCCACCTAGGCAGGGAACGGCTTCGCGCGTGATTCCCCCCCCTTTCCCCGAGCGTCAAAGAGAGGAGCCCCGTCCTCTCTTTCTTTCCCCGGGGGCTCAGCCTTCAAGAGCAGTTCCGACGGGTTAGTTAAATTAGTTACCTGTCGCTCGTTTCAGGCATCGACTCCTGGCTGTGAATTTCCTCCAGAGTCATAATGGTCCAAAAGAGAAGGGAAAATTTTTTTTTAAAACACCAGAGTTATCCACACAAGGGCTGGCTCCGCAGTTTGAAGGGAAAAATTTAAAAATAATAATAATAATGATGATGATGATGATCTTCCGGAAAGCGGTCCGACAAAAGAAAAGGAAAAACAAAACCACCCCAAAAGCCGAAGTTTCCGTCAGGTAAATCCTCCTCCTCTCAAGTCTCAATCGCGTCTGACTGCCGAGGAGCCGCGCTTGCCCTTTATATAAGGGCTGCGACGCTACCGTGCCGGCAGCTGCCGGAATCTCGCCTCCTCTGATTGGCTGAGCCCTAGCGTGTATTGTTATGTTAAGCCGACAAGTCGGGTAGACCCGGCTCGTGCCGGGAGGCCACGTGGGAGGAAGGGGGGCTTGTGGAGTGTGGGAGGGGGGGGGGCAGAGAGCGGGTAAATGGCGTGGAAGGGCCCCCGGTGTGGGGGTTGGGGAGGATTTTCAATGCCTCGAATCTGCCACGGCTGCTTTTGTCATGATGTTACTAGGCAGACTGCGGCCGACACAGTTTCATCTTTGAAGCGGGCGGAGGGAAGAGCGGGTGACTCAAAGAGAGGAGCTTGTCTTACTTAGATGGGCAAACTTGTGGCATAAGTTCCGCCAACCGCGCTACCACGCGATACGAGCTTTCCTTGAGGGTCTTTCTTTCTTCTTCAGAAGCGGCTCCCTTGGCAAAGTCTCTCCTCCATCCTGTTCCCAAATCAAGCAATTTGTTCTGTTGCCAAACCCTAACTAAAGGAACAAGGCGTGGGCGCTCCGTCGGGGGGTCCCCCGCATCTGCATCTGTCCCAGAGCTCAGGTTTCTAACGGCTAGGATCTCAAAACGCCGCGGGGCTTCTTCTTCTTCTTCTTCTTCTGCAGAAGCAATCCGACATAGGTTTTTTGCTACAAGTGGAGACTGAAAGCGGCCGGAGAAGGGGGGTGGGGGGTGGGGGCAGGGGAAGTTCCTGCAAAGTTCACCAGAATGAGAGTGGATCCAATCCGGCATGTCTAATGAGCTGCTGCTGTGAGCAGATTGTGGAAGGCACACGCTGCTCGTTTGCATTTCTATGGAGACCTCACACAATAGCAGAGGTCTGGCGTGTGGCAGTTTGGAGGGCAGACAATTGAGGCTTTCTCTTCATAGCTGCACTGTCCACCTGCCACTGGCTGAAGATTTGCTTTGGGCGGAGGGAGGGGCACAGGGAGGGAGGGAGAGGGGGGGGAACAATTGCATTACTCTCTTGGGTCGCCCAATCTGCTCCTGCTGATGAATGTCTCCACTTGCGCTGCACACACACACACACACACACACATTTCCAAAGTGCAATTGAATTTGAAGGCCTTCGGAGCACGCGATCCCGTCTCCTCCTCAAAAGGCTCCGTTATTCGGCCTTTGTCTTTGCCCTGGGGCCATGCTTTCATCAGGCTTTGTCTTTGCCCCTAGGCCAAGCATTCAGACATTGCAGGACATCGTTTAAGCACACTTGGCCTGTGGCCCTCTCCGCTTGACTGGGCCAGTCTTAATGAAGTGGAAAGCAGAAAGGGCTACACCTGTTCTCAAAAAGGTGGGCTCCCAAGTTCATCTTTGGAAGTGAGAAATGAAGATTCAGATCCAAGTGAAAGGAAGTTCTCTGTGGGGACCATGGTCCATTTACAGAATTCATTGCAACAAGGTACAAGAGATATCAGCTAGGAAGATAGAAGGCATATCTTGGACTATGCTGACTCAGGAATTCTGGGAGTCCACAGATTGCCCACCCTGTCTTGAACAATGCGGTTATCAGTGGTTAGTAGGCTATGCAGGATGGCTAAGTATTCCAATGTTAGTGAATGGGGAGCAAAAGGTGCAAGTTTTATACTGTACTCCTGGCCTGCTTGCAGAATTTCCACTGAAGGAATGGATTGCTCTTCAGGCTGGAAGAGTATTCTTTGCAATTAATGAGAGAGAGAGAGGGAGAATCCAATTGTTTCTTTATTGGATTATTTTTTATATAAAATTTTTTTTTTCAAATAGAGAAAAGAGCACAAATAATTTCTTTTGAATTAAAGAAATGAACATTCTATTCATGCTGATGTCTCCCCCTGCTGGTTTTTTTCCCTTGCCTCTTATCTTTCCTTTCAGCAATTTTAGGTTAACAGCGCTACCTGCTGGATGATTGATGTGCATCTTTCAGATTGCAATAATTGACTAAAACTTAAGTTTGTAGGAAAGAGATGAAAAAAGCCTCCCAGTGGATAAAATGCAGGCTTTATTCTGTTTACAGCAGATTAAAAAGCCCATGTTAACTCTTTTTGCAAATTCTCTCTACCTTCTGGGGTTTGTAGTCTTTTTGTTCTGGCACATGAAAGCAGCTGTTTGTATGTATTGGCTCCTTCGAAAGGAGAACCTTTGCTATGTGAAATAGAATTGTGCCACCTTGTGGATATACAAGTCATAGCTTCCAGGAAAAAAAATGGATGCAATTTAACTTACAAATTCATAACCAAGTTCTATTATAAATATGTTCCCAAAAGTATTTCAATTACATACTGTAGATAAGAAATGTCATAAGTTAATACAGTCAATTTATGTAGACATCTTGTCTGGTCCTAGCCAGCACTCTTTCTAAAAAAAAGAGAGGCAGGTGGAAACTTCCAATCAGAGCAATTGTACTAAAGAGCAAATAGGACCACAGACATTTATCAGCAAAAGAGAGAGAGAGAGAGAAGCATGCTGGTCTCCCACCTCCACAGGTATTGTGCCAAAGTGAACTTAATAACCATGTGAGGAACCTAGGGATCCAAATGTTGCAAAATGATATGTTGCTTTTAGAGCATAGAGTATTTAAAGAAGGAATCCAAATTGTCAGTAATAATTAGCAAGACTTTACCAATACTAATTAGTATGGAAAAAAACCTGAGGACTGGGTGATTTTCAATTAATTGCAGTGTGGATTAAGTCATGGATTTGTGCTTGGGGCAATGAGGTCTAAACTCTGAAGAAACCAGTTTATTCCACTGAAATAAAGGTAACTGAAGTAGAGCAAAGAAACATGCAAATAAGAATTTATTGGGTCTGGTTGTTTCATCCAATTCCCAAGAAACCAACTGTTAGGGAGAATAAGGTCTTAAGGGAGAAGGCCATCATTTCAAGTGTAAGAATGTTTCAGGGAAATGGTATTTGATGATGAACTCATTGTCTCATATCAAGGGTACTCTTTTGGAAATGAACAACTTTTGGTTGTGGGTAATTTAGTCTTTACAAATTATCTTTTGAGTCAAGATGAGAATTTTCATTTAGTGTTTAGTTGCAAAAGAGAACAGAGATACTTTCTATAACAGAACCTTGGTGGGAAAAATTGAAATAGTGGAACACAATGAATACTAGACAGACTTTAAAGAAAGAACAAGATTTAGAATGCTATTATATTTATATCAAAGTATGCAATTTACTATAGAAGACATTGCAAGACAGAATCACAGTAGATTGCAGTAACTGGCCACCCATATACCTTGGATCTAGAAATATATCTGATCAAATGCAAATTTAAGAAAAAGGAGCCAGAAAGGCACACAAAGAGGAAATTATTGAAATATTGATTTTTACATATATCCTCACATAGCTTTGGAATGTTTAAGCTCAGGCTGCAGACTCTTCTGCAATAAAGTTCCTCATCAAAGCTCTCTCAAAACTCATGGAAAAAGAAGATCTGTCCTTTAATGCAATTTGATTGGGGAATTCTGGGAATTACAAAATTAGGTTTGGCTTAACCTGTGGATTGAGTGACATAAACAATCTGAAGTTGTTAAACTGATTTAGTTTTTATTGTTAAAATGATATTGTTTCTCATGTTAAACAAATGCAGGCAATGAACGATAATACCATTATTATATCATATTACTAATAACAAAGAAATTGCATAGCATATTCAGTGGCCACAAATTAAAACAACAAATCCAGATCACCTCTAAGTATCTTTTAAATTGGGTTCAGATTGAAAGATGGAACAGTTGGTTTTCTGGAAAAGCAATTAAAAGTACACAACTAAGATCAATAGTGCAATATTACACAAAGCTCAGGCATTTGTTCAGCTGGAGAGAATTTTATGTTTGGCTCATTCATTTAAGAAAGAAGGGCTGCATCTGATTTCTTCCACCCACAGCAGTCAAATAGTAAGGCTAGAACTTTAAAAGGCATATTTAGAGGTAGGTTGAGCAGCTGGGAGGTTGTTCGGAGACCGTATGCTTTGCCTGACCTAAAACAAATGACACAAAAGAGAGGTTTCAAAGGTCACCAAATGACTTTTTCTCGGTCGGCATTTCTCTGGCTATAAAAGGGCCATTAGCGAACATTTTTTAGAGCACTGAGAGAAGGAAAAGGAAATAATAGATTCAACAGGGACATATATCTTCCCTTTCTGTTGAATATGATACACCCACCAGCATCTGGGTTAAAAACAAAAGGAATGTTGGTTTTCTTTAACAGAACCTCAACTGGAAAAAATGAAAAGTTCAGTTCACATTTCTTTCTGGGTTAATGAATCAGTGGGTATGCCTTTTCAGAAAATCAGAAGAGAGCATTTAGGCCATCAGATCCAATTTCTTACTCAGTGCACCTTTCCAACCTAAAACATATACAACAGATGCATGCTTGAATGTATCCAAAGAGGGGGTGCTTAATAAATAAATGAATGGAATGTTTAATAAACAAGTAATATAATTATTCATAGAAATTCATCCTGATATTACAGTTACAGCCAAAGCCTAATTTCTAATTCTGTTCAAACTTAAAATTTCAAATTGTAATATAAACAAAGTATCTTAAATCAGACTATCATATTGGACACTTGATTCCAATGTTGAACTTGGTTACTGTTAAAGTTCTAGTTGAAGTGGAGTCTACCTTTCTGTAATTTAAACCAATTATTCCAAGAAATGTTGACCTTCTATGTAACAAACTTTCAGATACTTTATAAGTACTTGATGACCCTCCTTTCAGTCTTCTCAAGGCGAAACAGTACTGCCTTAATGTCTTCATACTTTCTTCATAAGACATAGTTTGCAGGTCTCTGATCATCTTCTGGGCCCTTCTTTGAACATGTTTTAGTTTATCCAACTCATTATAAAAGTGTCTAGTTTTGGCCACCCTACTTGAAGTCAGTTCTGCCCAATGCAAATAAAAGAGTATCATAATATGGACTAGACTCTAGTCACAAGAAAATGATGCAGCATAGAAAAGAGGGAGACATAACAGAAAGTCATCATACAGGACCTGAACCTGGATTTTTAAAAAAATAGAAGAAAAAAAAAAAACTCTTGGGGCTAAACAGGGTAAATGCTTAAAGTTGCATCAGCTTGGTAAAGCTATTGTGACCTCTTTTCTGCTGTGTCGCCATTATGATAAGGTCTCCATTGTGAAATCATCTCTTGATCTCCAAGGTCAGAGAGGCCCTTTGATAGTCTTCTGGGCCAGTTGTACCTGTGAGCTTTTGAATGACTTCTTTTCAATATGTTATTACATATTTATCATTATTGATTAGCTAGGATGCTTGAATTTATATATGTGTGTATGCATTTTTTATTTATCCATTTTCTTCATAAAGGGAGTAATTTATTCCCTTGATTTAATACATTACCTTTTTACAGCTATTTGTTGATCATGTATAAGTATTTATTATTTAGGTCTGTTTGTTGATTGGTTGGTTTTGAAAGACAAGACAGTGAAAGATACACAAAATGTAAGTACATTTTTTTAAATGACTTCTATATTCCAGAGCAGTGTGGAAAAGGAGATAAGAGCAGTAGCAGTCATAGGGAGCCTGAACTATCTGTTCAAATACATTTTTTTCTCTGTGGCTGCTCCCTTTGACAGCCTCCAGTTATGAGAAAAGAGTTCTCCTCTCTGTGGAAATATATCCCAACACAATTAAAGAGAGTGACATACTCACAATCTCAAATCCCAAGGAAGCATCTGCTAAAAAGCCATTAGGATCTTTCCATCATACTTGGTGTATTGAATTACAAATGAATTGCTATCGTGTACTGTAGATGAAAGTGCATTAATTCCTATTGCTCATCCCTTTCCCCTATTGTTCTAGGATAGAAGTGTGGTCCTTCTTTCGTAAAATGACATCAAAGGTTTCCCCACTTCGGAAAGAAGGAAAAAATAATCAAGAAAAACACACCAGCAAACAGGACAACGGGGGAGATATTCCACCAGCATATTCCCCTGATATTCAGATAAATAATGGAGAAAAGGTATATATATATATATATATAACTTCTCCCAATGAGTGGGCTATCTTTGGAATGGCAAAGTGGTGCAAGTTAACATCACACGTCATGACATCATTGTACAAGTGATGCAAGTTATATAACCTGCTTTCTTTCTAGATTTACATAATTCACAACAGGTGTCTGATATCATGGCTCAGGTGGCATTACTACTGTACATTTATATCTCTCCCCAGTAGTATAGTAAAAATAACAATATGGCTGGGGTAGGGGTGGGTTCTAAAATTTTTTACTATTGGTTCTGTGGACGTGGCTTATTTTGTGGGTGTGGTTTGATGGTCATGTGACAATTCTTTAGGATTTAGCAAAGGTACTGGTCTACCAAGCTTTTAATTGCTTGTAGAGCTGTATCGGTCTACCCATTTGTTCTTGGAGCGATCCAGTCTACCTATTTGTTTTTGGAGGCACCGGTCTACTCATTTGTTTTTGGAAGCACCAGTCTACCCATTTGTTTTTCGAGCGTTCTGGTCTACCACCACACTGCCTTTTAACACTGATCAGCTGTAGGGCGGCCCTTTGAAGCACCGCGGCAAGAGTTTAAACAGTTTTTTTCCTTCTAGCCGATCAGCTGGGATTCAGGAGGCAGTGAATAGATTGGGGGCGGGGCCAAATAAAAGGTAAGAATAACACTGGGGGGGGCGGGAGGACCCAGCTCCTGAACAAAGAGAACTGGTTCGGTGTTGTCATATCGTCACTGCTACCGGCTTGGCCGAACTGGGCCGAACCGGGAGGAACCCACCGCTGGGCTGGGGGCGGTGGTGGATTGCTACCGGTTCTCACCGGTTCGCGCGAACCGTTAGCAAAAGTTGGGCCAAGGTCACAGAACCGGTAGAAATGGCCGGCTGGCTACGCTCCCAAACCGGTTGCCTGGTTACTCACCCCGGCCGCCATGTTTGTCACCGCCATGTTCTTCATGCACGCGCATCCCATTACTAGTTGAATGGGATGTGCATATGCAAAGAACATGGCAACAACGGCAGCAGCTTTTTCTGCTGGTACTTTTTGGAGGCCTGGCTAGGAATCTCAAATACTGATGAGAATGAACATTGTGTTGTAGCTAGTGGTAGATCAGCCCCCTGTAAACTCCGTCTCTCGAGGAGCCCAGCTGCTTGCCATTCGCCAAGTCGCCTGGACTCCCAATGATGGGATGGGGTCCTTCAGGCACTTCGTTTGGCCGCCTGTTTAGTAGCTCCAGCCAGCGGCTTCCACACAAACATTCATTCCTGGCTGTATTTGAGATTCCTAACTGCAGTTTTCTCGTGAGCACCATTGGCCGGGAGAGTTAGGGAGAAAGGCCAATGCTGCTCATGAGTAAACTGCAGATTAGAGGCAGCCGGCAGATTGCTGGCTTGCTTGCTTGGCTGCTTGTTGCCCAGAGCTCGCAGGTAGCGAACGAAACCTCTGTGCATCGAGGATGCCGAGCAGCAGCAGGAAGAGCATGGACCTCCTGAAATGCAGGAAGCGGCTGTCAGCAATGCCCTCAGGCAAAGATGTAAGTGGGGAGGCTCAATCTCCCTTAGCAGATGTGAAACGCTGGCTGACACTCGACAAGACCGCGCTCCTCTTCCTCCTAAACAGAAGCGCTCACAAGTAACAGGATATATTTTTGCAGGATTGCCCCCATCTAGTCTTCAGTATGTGGCTCGTCAGCCATCCAACATCAGATTCCCACCAACTAGCACCAGTCCCCCCCCCCCGAGAGAGGAGAGAGACAAGAGACACACAGAGAGAAACGGGGGGAAAGAGAGAGACAGACACACAGGGAGGGGGGTAGAGAGAGACAGAAACACAGAAAGGGAGAAAAGAGAGACAGACACAGAGAGGAAAAAGAGAGAGACAGACACAGAGAGGAAGAAAGAGAGAGACAGACACACAGAGTGGGGAAAGAGGCAAGACAGAGAAGGGGAGAGGGAAAGAGAGAGAGATCAGAAAGAAAGAGACAGAAAGAAAGAGAAAGAAAAAGATGAGAGAGAAATGAGAAAAAGAGAGAAGATGAGAGAGAGAGGGAGAAGGAATTGTTGGAAACTGGCAAAAAACATAGAAAACCTCAGTTACATGACCATAAGTGTGTGTGTGTGTGTGTGTGTGTGTGTGTGTGTGTGTGTGTGTGTGTGTGCATGGCTGTCAAAACTCCAAAAACAGGTCAAGTAGCTCTGGGGAGGTCAGTCATAAATTAGAACACTTGCTAAGCAACTGGCCATTAAGTGAGGACCACTTGTATTTGGTTTGCCTTAAGGGTTCAGAGCTGTATGGAATCTGATTTCCTTTGTCCCTTTGGGGGATTGCAAAAGGTCCGGATGGGGGAATCCTCATAGGGGGAACTAGGATTGTGACCACTTAGCCATACCCACCTAGCCACATGACTGCCAAACCACTCCCACCCAGTCACATGACCACCAAGACACACCCACCCAGTCACATGACCACTAAGCCATGCCCACCAAATAAGCCACGCCCACAGAACCAGTAGTAAAAAAATTTAGAACCCACCACTGGCTGGGGGGAAATATTAACAACTAGAAACTTGCACTGATAACCTAGCTAAGTGTCAGCCTATGCCTACCTACAGCTGCAAAACTGCAGGAGTCAGATTTATGGTGGCTATTCTCCTTAGCCAAGTCAAGTGATCAGCTGCCTCTTGGGTAGCAGATTCCTGCTTTCCTGGTGATAATGGCAGTAGAAATTGAACAGTCTGCATTGGTTCTGCAACAGGAAGGAGGAAAGCTGGCTTCCTTCTTCCTTCTGGTAAACTGGTTAATTCAGGTTGGGTGAGATTTTGCAGTCATTTGCTGCTAAACTATTGACACTAATAAAAACAAAGGGAATGTCGTGTGGTCAGTGAAATGTGGCATTAGTCATTTGAGGTGACTGAATTCCTGCCAAGCAACAGCATTGAAATGTGAATTCCCCATTTGGCATTTTTCAACTGATTTTAGAGGACCATGATTAGTGGCTGAACTAGCTAGATTTTACATTCTGTTGAGTATCAGGTCAGACTTCTACATCAGTGGGGATTGCCAACTTGGGTTTTGAATTGCCTGCATTGCCTGTGCATTTACCAATTATAACTCTTTTGCTCTCTTTGATTATATAAGATATAAAATTTTGAAGTTGGTGGGGGGAACGATTTGAGCTACGCTAGCCATTCTTCCATTCCTCCTGCAGTATTCCAGGATATCTTCTTCATTTTCTTCCACTAGGTCATGTGTATTCCAAAATCATTCTTAATATTGAATTAAAAATAATTAATTAAATTATTAAAATTAAAATTAAATACATCTGTGAAGTTATATGTGGCAATATATCAAAAGCACATGATGGACTTATTCATTAATTTTGCTTGATTCTCTACCTCTGAAACAAGGAATTATGTGTCCAAATCTTAATGAGATAGCGCTAACAGAACAAGACGTATGTACTGCTTCGCAGTTCTTAATAGCCCTCTTTAAGCGGTTTACAGAGTCAGCTTATGGACCCCAACAATCTGGGTCCTCATTTTACCAACCTCGGAAGGATGGAAGTCTGAGTCAACCTTGAGCTGGTGAGAATCGAACTGCCGAACTGATGGCAACCTGCAGTACTGCATTCTAACCACTGCACCGCCACGGCTCAGGAAGGAAAGAAGGCGAAAATCTGCACCAACTTCAACTTTCAATAATTGTAGAAAGCATACTTTGATCCTTTTTAACTTTCTGACTAACATTCTGACTTTTGTAACTTCCAGGGCATTGATATATTTATCAACTTTTTGAATGCCATGAATACTGTCTATGGCCCACTGGCAGAAAAAGGAAAAATAGTAGAAACAATTGTAGTAAGTGCATTCTTCTGTACCATTTGTACCAACAGTATCAGAGCTATGATGATATCAGTCATATAATGGTAGTCCTCAGGTAACAGTAGAACTTGGGATCAGAATTTCTGTAGTTAACTGCTGTGGTCATAAAGCACGATGTCAGATAACTTCCAGTTGCCATTGTGAAGCAAATCACTACAGGTTGTTAAGCAAGGACATCATGTTGGGTGCCATTTGCAACTTCCTGC